TCCAATTATGAGTCATGAAGCACCTTGGATAATCTCCAGAAATCAATGTAAATGGTAATAAAAATAATTGCTGATGTAATATTTTCCCTATAATTATTACAAAAACACTAAATAAGTATAAATAAGTATTTATATTTGTGTACAAAGTGTTCAGATTGTCAAAAAGCCTGTGTTTTTAGGGTTATCAATGAAGCTCATGTACTCAGACCAGTAATATTTGGGGTCACAAGTTTTTGCCATGGATATTTTGTGGGTCATAAGATCAAAAGTTTGGGAACCACTGCTGCAGAGGGCTTTCTACCTCTTTGTCATACTTTTTTTTCATACCAACTACTTTATACTATTGTTTTCTAGCCACGCATCAAAAAAAATCTGTTTCAGTTTATTGCAGAGATAATAGCGCCAAGACATCCAAGGACTCTTTACAATAAAAAAAAACACAAAATTAAACAATAGTGTCAATAGAAATACACAAACTAAATAAGCGCTGTGATATTTTTTTTATTATTTGTCCATAGAAATATATTCGGAGCTCTCCTATTCCCTAAAAAAGTTTTTGTATGCATGCTCAATTTTTTGCCTTATGCTGCTTCTAGCCTTTTGATACTTTGCCTGTTGCTCGAGCAAGTGTTCTGCTTCTTTTAGCTTCTTCGGGAGATTTTAGCTGTCAAAACAGCATTCATTTATTATCCAATTAATTCCTGCATTTTATTTTTTTGTATTTTGAAATTTCCATCAGTCGTTGCATAATTTCACTTTAAAAAGGCCAAACTTACAAAAAATGTTTTACTAAACAAATATCAAGCACTATTGAGAAAAGCAAGTAAACATAATGAATGTAAAAGTTTTTTTTTACTTTTTAAATTTTTGTGTATACTGTGTGGATATGACTATTTTGAAGGTCTGAAAATACCTAAGTTTCTATTTTTACCTGCAACCTTTGCCAATGTAAATGTTAGAGTGGCTTGTTACAGTTTTTTAAAGTATAAAATTATATAATTTGACTGATGTTATAATAAATCAAGTTATCAACAATATAAGTCAGTTTTGCATATAAATACAAAAACCTCTTCTGTAGTATCAATAGGTACTAATAGAAACAGGAAGTAAAAGGTAAATATTTTAATTCAATTTTAAAACCAATAATGGAACTTGACCATGTTGACACTAGAAACAAATCTTTTTTCCAAACATTTTTATTTATATACACAAAAAGTACAATCAGAAGTTCAAAAAGTCCTCCAAACAAGTTTAGTAGATGTTTCCCCAATTTAAATATTAAATCTGATTCATAAATTCAAATGTACTGACTGATTTCATAAAACTAACTACAGAACTGTAGTAAAGGAAACAAAAAATAAGGTAATTAATATGTGTGGAGGTAGAAAATAACGATATTAGCTTCAGCACGACATTCATGTTTGATCTAGAAACTATGTACACATAACTGCAAAAACCTAATAAACTTAGTTTATTAGAAGCAGGAAACTGAGCACTGAACAATGAACTGTAGCAAATTTTCAACATAAAAAACTGTTTAGTTATTTACATGAAAGAGATATCTAATAAAGCAGAACAGCTCAACAGAAAAAAAAAAAAACAGTTTCCAGCAGTTTTTCAGCTAAACCACAAGGGCTGATGAAAGGAATGGATAAAGACGACCCAACAGAAAAATATCTGCTGAGAAAATGTTTTTTTAGACTAAGAGCTAAGTGACATCTATCTGAGTTTGTTCTGTAATCAGTGCTTGGGTGTTTCTGCTCCGTTTTGATATGATAAATAATCTGAATATGTTAGTCTTTTTGTAGATGCAAATTAAAAAAGGCACAAACACACTTCAATACACAGAAACCTGATGGGATGACTAAAAACTGATTCAACTATAGATTTACAAAAATACGCTTCCTTTTTTTGTTTGTTTTTTTTTAAATCATGCTGCTGTTTAAAAGTGGAATTGCACTGAAAACAGCTGGAGCATCTCACACTTTACTGTAAAAACTGCACTCAACATCAAGTGTTCCATATAAAATAAAAAGTCAAACAGGACATTTCAGCAGAAGCTAGTCGACTTCAGCTCGTCGTTTACACCACAAACGATGACTTCTGTTTGAATTCCCCCTGAGAAACAAAACAAAAATGTTTCTTTTTTTGTTTTTCTAACACAAAATAACTCATCTATATTTGATTTTAATATTATCTAAATTATTAAATAAAATGTACATACATCATCATCATCACGAGCATAGGTTGTTGTTGGCTGGTAGACTGCTTTAGAATTTGGTTTGCTGTAAAAACAAAGAAAATACTCAGACAAACAGAAAAATGACATTAGGGATATTAGCCAGGAGAGGGTGCTAAAGTCACATAAAAAATGCAATGACGAAATTAAACATTTAGCAAACAAAAAAGGTGAAAAACTGAAATTAAATTGGGTCGGATTAAAAAATAAGTGGAATTTTGTTGCTTCTCATTAATCGTTACGTTATTTAACTTTTGGACTATAAATGTTCCTTCGGGGNTTACATAACAATGGATAAGTGTATATAAATAAAAAGATCTACAAAAAAAATCCACATTTTAGTTTTTGCATCTGCTACTAAACACATCTAACTCATTTACAGTCATGTTTTTGGGGTTAAATGTTGGGTTTTATCTTGAAAAGTGAGTTTTATCTGAACTTTATCCTGGTTGTATATTTTACCCACAATGACTCAGACACCAAATTGCAAAAGGTTTCTCTACTTACAAAAAAAAAAAAAACTATATATCAAAACAAAACACAATACACAATATAATAAAAAAACTCACCTTTCACTCTTAACTGTAATAAAAGAAAAGGAAAAAATGTCAGTAAAATAAAATATATAAGAAAAACACTTTCAGATCAACTTTTATTCTTCTACCTTATGTTCACATCCGTCATGATTTAAAATTCTTCTTAAAATGATGAATACCAAAGAATATTTTTAATAAAATGAATTAAACCTACTTGATGGCAGAAGTCCTTTCTTTTTGGCAAACCAAACACCGAAAATGATGAGGGCCAGAAGCAGCAGAGCAATGATCACCCCCGCAACAATTCCCCCAGTGTTCATGTCACCTGAAAGACACCGTTGCGTTACATTACTTAGATGAATCATTAAAAAAAAATAGAAAAGAGACAGTTTGACACTTTTTAATTCAAGTCAACAGAGATGTTGGGAGCACTTACGAACTTCCATCCTCGCACCGCTGCAGCGCTGAGTGGGACCGGCTTCGTTGGAGGCTTCACAGTAGTACTGACCTGAATCCATCTTGGTGACAGAAGGAAACTCCTGTAGAAACACAAGCTGTGCTTTAAAGACGAGTTTAAGAAGTATAAACACCAAAGCAGAGGTGGAATGTGTTTGTAGAAAGCAATCATGAGATCAACGTCAGGCTCCAGAGCAACAAGATGGAATACCACCAGCAATCACCCCTCATTGTTCGGTTTTGGGTTTTTTTGCCAACTTACACAACAGGATGTGAGTAAAAGAAAAAAAATACTATCTAAAGTGCTCCACATCAAACCAAAGTAAGGTCTGATGAAGCTTTGTTGAAATCTTCTGATTGCGGCAATCCATTTCTGAGAAAATTTTGCCCTAATTTTGGTATGCTCCATGACCTCCCTCATTGGAAAAATCTGATTTTGATCCAATGTGGAAGCTTTCAAGATGGAAACCATGTTGTGGACAAACCCTAAATATAGGCCCCCTCACTCATTACTTGCTGGGGTGTTCAGATGTTCATCATTTTCTCTTCTCATTTCTGAAATAAAAGGGTGTCCTGGGACTTTTGATTCACCTTGTACATACTGGGGTTTAAGAAAATACGGATTCACTGAAATGTTGAGATATTTAATTGTACTGTACTGATTCTTTAAAGTAATGTTTAGATTTATAATTAAGGCTTAAAATGAAATATTTTATGACAGCAGTTAATTCTTGCAAACAAAGTTAGGAGGTATGGAAAGTCAAATGGCTCACAGTTCATACTCTTTAAAATGTGCTTCGGTGACTGATAGATGCCATAAATAGTAGATCTGCAAAAATACATCCAGCTTTATCGAACTGTTCAATATAGTGCTCTAGGTTCAATACGCACTTGTACCAAACAACATAGATTTTAAAATTTATTTAATCAGCTTGTCTTCTGAAGATGCGCTGTGTTGAAGGTTCACTGGATCTGTGTTCGACCACTCCACCTAGGCTGCATTGTTGAGTGCAGATCTTTGCGGTAACTTGCGGTTTCAGAAAAATTTACTTTAAAAAAAACAGTACTTTTGAGGTTAAGCAAATGTTGTAATTGATTTCAATAAATTACAAGTTAAGGGAATGGAAATTTGTTTTTTATGTATTGAAAAAAATATTGAATCATGAGACTAAAGTATCGAACGGAAATGTGAATTTTCTGTATCGTTGCACCCCTAATAAATAGGTCTTATATACATTTTTGGTTTTGAATTTTCACATTAGAAGATACTAAGTTTATGTGCTGCCTTATATTTATGTTTTTAAGTTCAAGCTAATTTTGTTTTTTAATTATTTATCTACCTATTTATTTATTGACTCGGTAGCTGAAGCAAATACCGAACCAAGACACCTCTACAGTACAGAGAAATAAATGAGTAAAGCTGACCAGTTTTCCACTCAGTGGGTCCAGTTTGTAGGTGGCGTTTTGGAAACCAGCAATCTTGCTGGGGTCAACAGGAAGGAGGGTTCCATCTTTGTACCACTTGTATGTTGGAGGCGGTGACCCGGCAGGATCATAGCAGTGCAGGACGGCCATCTTGTTTGTCGTTACCGTTGGAGGGATATTACACATTGGTGCAGCTGGAGGAACTGTAAAACATGACAGACGGTTCTTGTTTTGAACATTTATGAGTAAAAATCAGTCTTGAAATTGATACAAAATCCTAAGAATGATACATACCCAGAACAGTCAGCTTCACAGTGGCAGCCTGATATGGGCTCTGGGCACTGGACACCTCACAGATATAGTCTCCATTATCCACACGGGTCACTTTGGAGAATCTCAAATCCTTGCCGTTAACCAAAGTGATGCGGCTGGAATATGAGTCTGTGGAAGAATCATAAGTTCGTTTGCTCTTTAGGATTCATTGGTAATATTTAACTATTTAACAAAATTAATTTTCTAGAAGATGACAAAGAAGAAATGTCAATGTACTGACCAGTTGGTTGACCATTATAAATCACATAGGTCTGTGATCCTTTTAAGTCCCTAAATTTCCACTCCAGTCTGGGATTTGAACCAAAGTCTGCTGAGTATGAGCACGTCAGGTCCACCCCTGGAAAATAAATAAATAAATAAATAAATAAATAAATAAATAAATAAATAAATAAATAAATAAACAAACAAACAAGTCATACAATTGTTCTGTGACGGAGCTCAGCTCAATTATGTAGCATAACTCTTCCATAAAAACTCAAATTTTGTGCAAAATAAGTGTTAGAATAATGACACAGCAGCATGATAGTCCCTTCAGAAAAAATACAGGGCAAGAGTCCAAATCATTTACTCTGTAGTAAATAGTGTCGGAGGAGTTGGCAAACCACTTTTAAGGAACAGCAGGATGTTCTGTTCTACTGAGCCCGCGAGGGGACATGGGGGATATTTTTTTTCGCATTCTCATGCAAATACCTTTTGCGTTACCTCGCAATACCTTTGCGTTACCTCGCAATACCTTTGCGTTACCTCGYAATACCTTTGCGTTCCCATGCAAAAGATTGTTTTGTATATGAACTGAATTAAATCAGACTTATTTTGAAATATCTGTTTACCAAAACAGGATGTGTCGCCACAAATTAGTGAAATTGACATTGATGTTGCATGGCTGCACTGTTAAAATATTGGCATGACGACATACTACCATGCGTGGCTGTGTGATAAATTCATTCTAAAGCTGAATTAAAGCAGTAGGCTAACTCGCTAATAGTGAACATGTGAGTTTGTTAATAAACCAGCAGGCACAACAGTGATAAACTACTTTTGCGAGGTAACGCAAAAGGTATTGCGAGGGAACGCAATACTATTGCGAGGGAACGCAAAAGAAAAAAAAAATTCCCATGTCCCCTCGCGGGCTCCGTACTGTTCAAACCCAAGCAAGAGCTGAAAAGAATACATCTCAACTTGGTAATAAGTCTGTTTTGATGTTAAGATCAAAATATACAGTAATCCTGAAATAGTTAAATAAATATTTGTGAGCCTGCTGAACATTCATTACACAGCAGGGTTGGGTAAAATCGTATCGTCAGAAAAACTGTCACAGATTAATGATCGTCACTTTATGTTTAGCGCTGCGTGATGGTGAAGTATTTTTGGGTGACGCACTATCAAGTGCGCATGTGTGGTGGAACGGTGGCGTGCAGCTAACGCTAACACTACAAACTTGTTTATTCACCTCAAACACAGCCATTAACCAGAGTATGAGGGGAAACTGACAACGCGGACCACATCCACAATGTCTGCTACAGCAAATTCATTACCGTAATCCTGATTACAGCATTTATGTATATAATGCGATTCGAGGACAGAGCAACCCTGTTTTTGAGCTTAAAATGCAAATTTAATCCTCGTACATAATCCTAACACTAATTTCCCACAGACCTCAGGATTTTTTTCAGCCTTTGCGGTGTACCTTCTGGTGGGGACAGATTATTTTGGGGACACTAGTGAGCATTTGTGGCTGTGAAGGAGAAGCTCAAGCTTCTGTGTGTCGCTAAAAGTGATCTGCTCAGAAGCTGGTTGTTAAAATAGCAAGATGAAAAGCTTCAAAGTCCAATTGAGAACATAACCCTGACATCCACATACAGTATTTACATCTCAGTTAACAAAAAGGTTTTTCCCCCATCGACTCCTCGTCCAACAACATGAACTTCTCTTCAAAGGACTGATACATCAGAGTGAAATAACTGTTTTAAATGTTTAGCTGTGTGTGATGTATTCTACAGAGGGAGATGATATAATAATTTATCCCACTCAATAATATTTCAGTTATATATGAGGAATATATTTAAATTTATTACAGTAGTACTTTTGCAATTTTTTTTAAAAATCTGTCGAAATGTATTCATAATAATACAACCCTTCAAATTTAAAGATTTTTTCATCTTTACTGTAATTCTTTTGGCCAATATCATCTGACCTTATTACACAGTAAACTCTAAATGCTCTGACAGGACATCCCTGATTTAATAACACACCACCACCTGCACACAAACAGTGTTCCCTTAATGCAGGTCATAAACGGCTTCCAGCTGCCAGCAGACCTGCAGGGAGTGAACCCACTGAGGGTTGGCCTCCGCTGGAAGCAGGAGCTGCTTCAGCAACATGAAAGTGGTTTTTATACAAGACAAATGTCCAACAATGTAAAATATCCTTAATGTGTGTTTTAAAAAAAAAAAACAGTGACGCACAACAAGGGCAGCTGCACATGTGGTCTGAAGATAAACAAATGACTCAAACCAGAAGAGCTTTTATCACCAGGCGCTCTCTGACCGATAATCAGGCCGGGTAGTTTAAGGAAGTTACCTCAGCAGTCACAGAATCTCTCGGTTTCGATGCCTCTCCAAACTTTTTATTCATTAATTTCAGCAGGTTTAAATTACTGTTCTACATTAGTCAGTAAAACGTGAGGAGAAATGTGAAATTTCCCAGCAGTCATTGGTGTTTTAGTGTAAGAGTGGGTGAACAGGATCCATACAGAAATGTCATTTTTATTTCATTGCACTTTGTTTTTCTGCATCCTAATTAAAACAGATTATATCGGGGATAAGATTTTCAAAGGCACAGTGTGTAGGATTTTGTTAAGTCTTTTAGCCGAAATTGAGATAATCACTAATGACAATAATAAAAAAACATGTCTAATCATTGCAGACAAAGACCTTGTTTTATTATGTTTACCTTATAAAAACCTGTTTATATCTCCATGGTCGCGGGTCGCCACTACAGGCAGCCGCCATCTTGTCTACGAAGGCTCATGAAGGACAAACTGCGGTGGCGGCGTCAAAAACAGTTTTAGTTGTAATACTATAAATGTAATATTTGAATGAAACAGCACCAAACTGCCATTATCGTTCACAAATTCTACAATAAACAACGTCTTTGCAGTTTCATTTGCATCTCCCTGCAAGATGTGTATGTCAGGTTTTTTTTACTCTACTTGTTTTTTTTAACAGGAAACAGAGACATGGAGCAGCTGGTTGCACAGAGTAAAGGGAGCAGAGAGACACTTTGACCAGGACCTCAACCTTCTTTTCACCCTGACAGCACTCCCACATGGCCGAGCCTCTGGGCTCCAGTCCAGCGTCTGTTGTGGGCAGCTGATGGAGTTCAGAGGGGATTGGAAGGTGTGTGTGTGTGTGTCTGTGTGTGTGTGTGTGTGTGTGTGTGTGTGTGTGTGTGTGTGT